GGTACCACACCAAATGATGTACGACTAACTAAAATACAAGATTAACTATCCCGTACAAATGTTACATTTGAAACTGTTCGGAATTAAAATTACCTAAGTAGTGTAAGTAAGCTTGAATGGTGTTGAAAACTTGCAGATTTTTTAAGTAACACTAGTTTTTACCTATGTAAGTAAGTAATCACTTCTAGTTAGCATATAAAGTTCCCCATAAGTTATACATCAAATTTTAAATTAGATCTCCAGGAACACAACAGTGAAAACCGCACTCAATTTGTCCTAGAATGTTTTCCGTAATGCCGGAACAAACATACACACAAACAGACAAATCGATTGCTCTTATTAAGTAATAATTAAGCGTATAATTTAGTTGAATGCCCTCTAGTCAGTGCCTTATCAGAATTTGTATTTCGAATTGCTGCGCTTATCAGTGTCATATTAGTATTCGTATTTCGAATTGTACATCTTGTTTTTTTTTCTTTTTTATATAAACGCGTAAAAACTTCCAGTATTATACTTTTGTTTTCGTTTCATTCAAATTTTCTCTAGTCTTATCAAGAAACTTATCTGAACCCTTATTAGTCTTCACAAAAACATTATAACGTAAATTTCGACCTTAACTTACTAGAGACGCTTGACGTTGATTAATAGCTGTTGTTTGTTATACTCTTAACGCGTTTTACAACGAAACTTAGTTGTTCTTGCATTAATATTCTTGTTAAGGATATTTTTTTCTTTGCAACTATGTATTGTCATTTAATACCTAAATGCTTTCAACTGAAAATACTGCCATTATTTAACTTTATGTTTATACTACTGGTGCATATTAAATTAAGCTATTTATTAATCTTTATACACAAAAGCCTAGAAGGGATACACTCATATAAAATGTCAAATTTATGTAAACGCGTCACTTCAAAATGATATCAACTATTTAGCTAATTCTATTTTTTTTTCTGTGTTTTTAATTGCCAGGACACAGTTTGTATAAAAGAAAAAAGTAAATATTTATTTTTTATTTTTTTCATTAACTAGTAATACATATATTAAATTAAAATCTTTTTAAATTGTTAAATTAATAAGTCGTTCGAAAATAAAATTGAAAGAGTCCTTTTGTTTTTGAAAAGATTTCGTAGCATCTTTCCTAAATATAAAAATTAATAAATGCAATGCGCTAGTGATATGCATCGATAATGTAATATTTAAGGCCCCCACTATAAATACATCTCACCTGAGCAAATCCTCTTTGTGTCAGCACAACTTTATATACAGGCCTATTGATTGCGGCTCCTGTGGTTACGGCAACCAAAAACAAGAAGATCGTCCACCAACACATTATCGTTAGTTACACCTGTAATTTATACATAGTTGTCATTTGTTTTTTATACATTAACGGTAAAAAAAAAAAACTGGTTATAAGCAGTTACATTGTCGAAGATGTCGCGGTTTAATTCATCATCATCATATCGGCCATTAACTGTCCACTCCTGAACATTAACCTTTTTTTAAAAAAGGGTTTTCCAGTAGTTGCTATGTTTGGCAAATAGATTCGCTACCGCAGTTAGCTTTTTGTAATGCTTTAAGAGAGACTGTTGCCTATCCGTGGCCCATTGAGTTCCGTTAATCTCTATTTGCGACACTCATCTGGAAAGTACAGGTGGCTTATTCTATGCCGGGGCCACACGGCGAACACCTGAATACTGGGGGGAAAAGGATTGTTAGTAATGGGGTCTAATAGTCCCATTACTAGCAATATACCCTCTCAGATTGACCTCCACGTGATTCCCTCTAGAAACCTGAAACTAACCTGCATTAATTCTCACCTATCATCTTCCACTGGTGCCTCGTCGGTGTATACCGATAGCGCGGGCGGGATTACCAATCCATTTTCACCCATTAAAAAAAAACACCCGAATATCTACTTCATAGAAAAACTAAATAAACTATGGCTCATTACTATATTAATGTATAACATTTACGCAAAAATGTATGTGTACCGAACGTGTAAATTTTGATTTCCAAAAATTACGTTGGAATTGTCATATAAGTTAAATTTGGAACAGTAGGAGAAACTCAACAGAATAACACAATTATAGTATATATATGAATAATGAGAATAAAGCAAATTAAGTACGACTTAATACAAAATAGGCACTTTTATAATTTAATATATGACATGTTTTTATCACCATATTATATTAAGATAGCAAACTTAATACAAATTTATTTCATTTTCTTTTGATAAAGTCATGACATGACATGATAATATCGTGTACATGCATGGAAATTTTGTACAGGAAAACTCTTCTTTGGATTGGCATTCACTAAGACTGTCAATTAAAAAAGATATATCATACAAAAGTGCATATCTCTTACAATCAAAGTAAAATCCAAACGGACAAGGATTTTTGATAATCCCCGTTGGGCCAAAAAAAAGAGCTCTTTCTAACGTATCTACATACGAAACTACTTGTTCTGTGAACGTGATTTCAGTCCACAATGATCCCTTTTTATAAAGTAAATTAGCACTGAGAAAAAGTTTTTAGAAAATATCACAAAAACGGGTTTATAATAACCGGCTATAACGAATAACTAGTTGACATTTAATACGAACCAAAATGAAATGTGATTAACTTGTTTTTAAATATTTTTACTATAATATAAATGCACTATAATTGGTAAATATATATTATCATGTTTTCAATAATACTGAATATTTTTAATTTTTTGCACTACAGAGTGTTTTCACTATAAAAACAATGCGACAACTGACAATTCCTTTCCGTTACCGCAATCATCGTTGTTGCTTTAAAATTATTGTTTGTAAACCACTAAGTTTCTTATAACATTGTTGCTTTGTGACAGATCTACAGTAATTCATACTTTCATACACTTCCCTATATATCTAAGATATTATATAAATAAAATATTATGATTAAGGTGCATAAATTAGCAAATACAATTGCAATATGTTTTTACATTCTGTTTTCATATTACTTGAACGGTAAAAATGTAAGTGTGATTTAACGTTTTATTTATAAAAATAAAAACTAAACTACTCAATTAATTTTGATAAAATTTCTATTATATTTACCTCTATATATTTTTTTTAAACTGGTTTACAAGTCATACGTAACACGAAGTACATACAACTAAATTTATTGTATTCTTTCTTTTCTTGCAATCGGTTTATGATATAATTATGATACTGTATCTTCTATAAATCAATTTATGGCATACAAACCAATGCTGCAATATCAGATAATAAAACTTTAAATAAAAAATAATAACTGTATAAAAATATTAATCAATAGGCTGATTTTTTACGCAATCGAATTGAGACCAGGGGAGTCTACCATGAAAGGAAATTCCGAATTTTTGAACTCAAGTTTTCGTTCATACCGATATCGGCCAAGTAAATGGAGCTTAACATTACCTTCATTATAAATCCTACTATAAAAGTCCAAAGGAATAGTATATTAACATTTTTAAAAAGTATGTATTGTGTAATTTTAACAACAAATTTGCGTGTTGTTCGGCCCCGAAATTTCGGAAAAAATTTCATAGTAGGCCCTCAGATCTGAAGCGTATCGAATAGACGTCAAGTTTAAGAAAAAGTAATGACTGTTTGACGTATATTCTATGTAATTATTATTTGATCCCATTTCGATTGCATCAAAATCACTGTTTTTTTTTATGCAACTTAGAATGGCGAACAAGCTGATGGCCCACCTGATGGAAAGTGGTAATAGTCGCCTATAGACATGAGCAGTACCATGGACATAACAGAGTATACTGTTTCGCCCATGATACCCCCCATGCGTTGCCATTCCTGAGGATTCAGGTGTTATTCCTCTGTACCAAGTAAATTGACGCCATATCCCACCCTTCAAACCGAAACACAGCCATGCAAACACAACTGCTTCACGGTTGAAACACGAATGGGACAGAGGTACCCAAGTAATCTACTTTTGTACAAAGTCTCCCTCTGGTGAAGTGGTGGCAAGGAAATTCTTTCCTTATGTGTCAACATATCCAACCACGCGGATGAACTTTCTAGTAAATAAATATTAAATTATTATCAAACAGTAGAAAGAGAATATTGTAAATACTATTCTTTATCTATCATAAACTTGTCTAACCGGGGGAAAAGGGATTGTTAGTAATGAACATTAACAACCTCATTGCTAGCAATACACCCTATCAGATCGACCTCCACCCGGTTCCCCCTGGAATCCATAGTAGCTAATTCTTTTTCAATTGGTCACTATGGGCCAACTTACCTGCCATCATCCTCATCTGTCATTTTTCACTGGTGCCCTGTTAGCGTATACCGATAGCGCAGGCGGGTAACCATTCTATCTTCACCCATAAAAAAAAAAAAAACTTGTCTAACCTCAGAGCTAGCTCTTATTCTAAAACATTCTTTTTCAATTGTTTCGCTACGCAACTTCGTACTACGTCCAAATATACAAGTATACCATTTTTGAAGATCCATACTCACATATTGCACAAATGGCTTGCTTTCCTTGAAATGTTAATAAACATGTCACTTGCCGCCTTTCTAAGAGAGAATTTTATTTAGCGACTCGACGCCAAGTTCCCGCTTGCACGTCGTGTTTTTGACAGCTTTTATGCATTTTTTATTTTGTTTTAACAGTTTATTAAAATGTTCTCTGTTAGCAGATAATGTTTGCTTTAAAATTGTAGCTTCATTCTAAATACAATTTTTTTTAATTCAATATATTATTTTTCTTTTACATTGTTTCAGTTAAAACCCTGTGCAATTAGCAGTACCTACTTCTACATGATACAGTTAAATAAATAGAATTCAACATAAATTTCATATACCATACCTAAGTCTTTTATTAAAAAAATATAACAAATGCAGTAGGCGCAAAGACAAACGCGCGGTCTCATAACCGTGGTTAAAAAAAATCCCTAATGTTTAACCTTTATTAATTTTCATATTATTGTATGGTTATTTTTGACATTGTTCGCAGGTCAAAGCCCCGGCTTATTACATGGGCACCCAAGCACCAAGTACTCTCCCGCGCGGAGGATCAATCCTAAGGGCATTCTCACCAGCAGCCGCTCCCGTGCCAGCTGACCGAGTCAAAAGCATACCAGGTACAATCATGAAAGATTTATGTATATTTACCATCGCCATTGATCAAATTTCGATCATTCGGAGCAATCAAAATTCATAATATTATCGTGACTCCATCAAATCTGTGTAACGAAGTGAAAAATAAATCCCTTTATCAAATTTATTTCGAGATTATTTCCCTTTTTTTTTTAGACTTGTAATATCTTCTTCAAATATGTACACGAAAAATTAAACATTCGCTCCAACATGGCCTACAGAACAAGTCAGACGGGTGGTTCTATTAGGTATAAAGATGTATGTGTAGGTTCCTCCGCGCCGGTCAAGCCTTTGCGTACAAACATGCCGGAGAGACGACCGGAAAGATGTTTCCCCTACGCCGATTGTCCCCGGGGTCCTGACCGACTGTACACCGTCCTTGGTAACCTAAGCCTCCTCCTAACATCACGTCTAGACCGATAAATTCTTGTACACATCCAATACGTTTCGTATTTAAGATTCTTTAATCTTCAAACAAGAAATATCAATTGTACCACAGAGGCGAGCATTGTGTAACGAGAAATTATCGATATGGACAAATTGCAATAACATCTATAGCTTTAAAAATTTATTTGCTCGCTTGCTCGTTTATCAATGTTGTGCTAACAACACTCAATAAAGATGTTATTTCCAAATTATACAATTCTGCCTAACCCTGTCAGCGTTTAATTTAAATTACCTAATCTTCTTTCTTCCTGTCTGAGCTAAAGTTTTTTTTTTTCTAAATTGTAATCTTTTACCAAAATAAGACTTTATAATTTGTAAGGATGGTTATAGGAGACGGTTATTTGTTGAGAGATATCAAAGTACTTAGCTGCTTTTGATTTTATGTATATCTCTTTATCAGTATGGTTTATTTTACTTTATTACTACAGAGTTATTGAAAAAAGAAACACCAGCGTACCCATTATTGTAATCTGAATTAGGTTATTTTTTTATATATTTTTATTTAACTCTACAAATATGTCGTTAATTAACAATTAAATATGAAAATACAACAAATTGCTAACAAATAGGTAAAATAGACATCAAAATAATTAGAAGTTATGTTCTCAGCTTGTTATAATTTTAGGGAAAGCTTCAAACCAAACAAAGCCGAGACTCATCACGTCTTGCAATGATTTATCAGTAACAAGTGAGATGTCTGATTTTCCTTTTTAACACCTACACTGACACTTCGTATATTTAAATCATCATATGGCAATAATTATATCATTAGAGCGTTTAAGACTTAAATGCTAAAATATTCTCTTTCAGTCAACCTTAGAGTAGTGCTAGAATACTTGAATGCAGTTCTAGTAATAATTGATATAATAATAAACAAATAACTAAGTATATATATATATATATATATATATATATATATATATATATACTTACACATACATGAGTTATGCTATATTATACATGGAGGTGAGGATAATATATAATACTTACTAATGGATGAAGTATAAAAGTGAACATTAACGTTTATGAAAAAAAAGGATTAATTATTATGGTTTAAAAAGATGATTTCTCCCATTTGTTTAAATTTTTTGAGAATTATAATATTAAATTACATTCTTATGCATTTTCTGTTATGTCTGTGTCTACGGTTGACTGATAGATAACGCCGTTTGATGTTAAGTCTACCATTTACACTTTCTAAGTATATTAAAGTTTAATAAATAAATATTATATTACGGCAAGTATATGTTCTCCATAAAAAAAAATACTTCAACCGTTAAATACACGTGTTGTTTCTTAGATTCATCGTAAATTAAAAATATTTGAATTTGGAATACGGAATAATCTACCTAGTTAAATCTGTTTTCATTTCACAAAAAACCGTGTTTTTTAGATATGTAAAAGGCAACTTCATAATTTATTAGGTGCCAAAATTTAGAATAAAATTAAATTTTTATATCAATTCATAATTAATTGCGTAACGTAATTACAAACTGAAAACTCCATTCTTTTGGAAATAATTTTAAATCTTTTATACATTAAATATAGGGTTTATTTTGTTAATTCAAAAACAATTTATACATGTGACAATTGATGTATAATGAAGTAACCGAATAATAGTTCCACGTTGTATGCATGTATTGGATCGCGGTGTCTGTCAATGAGAGAACTAACAGATGAACGAGTAAATTAAATACAATTCTTGAATAGGAGAGTGAGATAGATATTTCGAATTTCGAATCCAATAATATGTAACATTCGATATAATTTTGAATAATTCGTTTTCCTGAATCTATACGCACGTCGAGTACATGCGTATATACAGAATTATTTAAAAATTTGAATTTGGAATAACACAAAATATATTATTTTATTAAGGCTATTTAATTTAAGGCCGTTTTCAATTCTGAAACAAAAGTATCCGTACGACGCAATATCTCGCCCTGTCCGCATAAGAGAACTCCCTGATTAGGATCCTAAATATTCATAGGCATAAAAGATGGGCTTCACTTCAACCAAACTTCATAATTTGTTCACACGACTTCAATGTTCCTACAGCACATTTATTATACATACACAAAACTATTAATTCGACTCTGCCCACAGACCACTTGTGTGCTTAATTGGTTATATAACAGGTGTAACTGAACGGGTGTAATCTGAAACTCAAAAAAATGTGCTAATTATGAAACTGAATAATTTTTCTTGTGAAAATTGGACCGGTATATATTTATATAAAAATGTATTTTTTTTTTATACAATATCCTGATTTTGGTGCTGTAGCAATTTAACATACCTACTGCCGTCCAATTCGACGTCGTGGATACTATTCCTGTTTGACATATCTGCTTTTATTGGTCTGTATTTTACTGAACTATGTGTTATTTTGCAGTAATTCATATCGCTGTTAGTCGATTAGAATTATTTTGTTTAATTCCCCTACCATTAGTATGCGTGCGACTGCTAACATTTGAAGACTGACTACTATTATTATTTAGTAGAAGTTCTACCACCTTCCATGTTAGTTATCAATCTCCGACCGTTATCCAGTCCATACACATATTGTGTCACGTGTTCCATCTCTAAATCATCAAGCAAACTAATAGAAAAAACTTTTCGAACTTCTACTAATAATAGTAGTCAATCCTCAAATGTTAGTAGTCGCACACATACTAACGGTAGCGGAATTAAACAAAATAATTCTAATCGTCTAACCAGTATATCTTTTAATGCAAATGGCAACCCCGCCTGTGCTATCAGCAGATCCATTAGCCCATCGTGACGAATTCATCAATAATTAACCACGATGGTTTCCAGGATAAGTAAGTGGAGATCGACCTATTGGCCTACTGAATATACCCTATATTGCTAGCATTGGGGCTGTTAGATCCCATTACTAACAATCCCTTTCCTCCCTAACCAAAATATTAGGTCGAGATGTTTTCATATATACTGCATATAAATTTTGTGTTTACAAAAATGTGTTTAAATATATCTATCAGCAGTTGCCAAATAATTACAAACTTCCCTTAGTTTGATACTAGATGGCGCTGTCCAGTGATATTTAGTACACGGAGTCCGTAACTGCACCATTTGTGTGAAAGATTAAAATATAATTTCATATTGCGACACTTGTTTCGTGGAGAAAGTTGTTCAGTTCGTTTTGTTTCGTACATAATTTAGTTTTCGTTTACGACACCCATTCCGTTACAGCCTGTACATACAATCTGTTATTTATATACTCAGTATAAGTATATTTAGTAAACAATCTTGCCGAAATTTAAAACAACAGTACATAAAATTATTACCAATAATTAGAACCAACAATGCATTATTTTTTATTATTTCTATTTCCATATAATGTTAGTAATATAATAAAATCGTAACTACACGACGTCTGTACATGAGAATATATATATATATATATATATATATATTATATACATTACATACCAAATTGGATGCGGTTTTTACAGTTATATTCCTAGATCTAACTTATAAACTTTTTATATTGATATGCTCATTGTGCGGGGAAAAATTTAACCTGTGTTTATAGTACGTATATACCAAATTTCATAACGACTGTTTAAACCATCAAAGTGTCAAAAGGTGCAAACAAACAAACTTATTTTGACATTTATATGTGTGAAAATGAGTTTGTTTGTTATAAAAATAATATTATTAATAAGAATGACCAATTTCAATAAAGAACAAAGCAAGATTGTTTATTATATAAAACATACAAAGTATAAAAAAAATATTATACAAAAATAGTTTTAATTTAGTAAATTTTAAGGTAGTGATTAAAGTAAATCTATATTACTCCAGGACACTCGGGTGAGGGCTACATGTCATCACCCGAGCGTGTGGGAGCACGGGTTCCGTACGAGGAACCTTACTACACCCAGTTCCTGGGACCGGCCGCTTCTCGTCCTATCGCTTCTGCGATAGATGAAGAAGCCAGGTGATTTTTCTTTTATTATATTTATTTTATTATGTTTATAAAATAATGTTTCTCTCTAAAAACTAATTTAACACTCGTTGTACGCAAATCCCAAAATTTTATACACTTCTCAAGTAAGGGTCCTTATTCATGTCAAACATTATCTGTACTGTTAGTCATTTATTTGGTTTAATTATAATTAATTATTACAATTAAACCAACTAAATTACTTGACCAGCTTAATAATAATTTAGCTAGTTTATTTCACTTTTAATATCTTAACCAATATATAAAAAGAAATAGAAGTATTAATGTTTTTTTAATTTTAATATGGACCTTAAATTCTTTTTATATTAAAAAAAAAACAAAATTAAATCCATTACAAAAAAATTAAAATGTGAGCCCAACATGATGTAAACTATTTAAAATATCATTAACATAAATGACAATAATAGATAAGGTACAAAATAGTTAAATCGAGTCGTCGTTAATGAAATCCTGACGCAATTTAAAAATATCGATTTTAGGAATTAAGGTGTCATCATTAATTTTGAGTATGATTAAAAATAATTCAACTAAAAAATTCTTAAGTTAGCTAGTATATATGTATTTGATGAAATATATAACTTTGTGCCTATATATAACCATAGTATGTTTTAAATGTATATAAAATGAACTAATTTTATAACATTAATTTGAACTTAATTATTTTCAGCGATGGAATAATTGTGGAGGACGCGTACCAAATGTATGGGGTGAACCCCATTACAACTGCGCCCCGTCCCATGCCTCGACCGCCTTACGACGCCAGGTAACTTGGATACACGATGCTGGACATTGATATAGTAAAATAGAACTCATACTGCAATGGAACTATAATGAAATGAAAAAAAAATACAACAAAATAATAAAATAAAAAGCAACTTAAAGATTACATAGGCATAAAGTTGCAAAACGTTATTTTGGTGTCTAATCAGACTTCAGACGGGATTTAACGAACTTTCTGTTTGTCATTTCTGAGATTTGTTTTGACTTCATCCGCAAGACTTCAAGAGGCGTACAGCACTTTGCGTCACAGTGTCTCGCCTCGCACTGTAGGCTGTTCGCAGAGTCCGTGAAGACGTCAGTCGAACGGGGGTGGGGACAGAGATAGCGGTGGTAAGAGGCAATGGTGTTGTCAGAATTGATTGGCTGTATCCTGTATTACCATTGATTGGTGTCTCGTCTTCGCAGCTACTGTCTTCTGAGCTGTCCAATACAGTCTGGCACACAAAGCTCATTGGGTCTTCTTTTAATTCATTTATCGATCTCTGGCTCTATTAAATTTATGGCGACGACTAATTTCAATTGCTTCACAAATCTTGCGAAGAATTAACAGCTTCTTTCTTGCTAGGACTCGGATCTTATCATAACCTATTTAGTGTGTTATACCAAAGAATAAAACATGCTCCGTCACAGCGAAACTCTCTGTGTCCACACTTTTATAGATTTTTATAGATGTGTTCAACCAGCCTTGTTGATACATTCTCCTCCATAATATTGTAGCAAATGTCACATGGGCGAGATCCATGTGACATTTGCTACAATCCTATGGAGTCACGTAGATACTAGGAACTCCCAATGGATCTCCGTATTTTGAAGAGCGCAGCAACTCCCTTCGTTTCAGTGGGCGGAATAACATCTTAATGCAGTATTTACGACGTAATAAGTGTCCAATTTTATTTGTAATCCCTAGACATTGTGCATGTATATTACAATAACAAGAATTTTATGAACTTATTGTCTTTGTCGTTTTCGATAATTGTTTCGACATTTATCTGAAAGCCTTCTTCAGGAGCAGTACGGTGCTTAACGTTACAACGTCTTACCTCGCTCTACAGGCTACTAGACATGGAAATTATTGCTATATTTAATTCATTATCATTTAGTGAAATTATAATTATTGTTCCCGATAATATCATCAGTGACAAAGCACAAAAAAGTGATTTTCGCTCGCAATGAGTTGTTAACTTGCTATTGAAATTAATATAGAAATTATGATTTTTATGATAAAACCGTGCGAATAGACACTTTAATACTGTGTGATAAAATTTGTATTCGCTCGCTATATATCGACCCAGTCGGCTTTCTGATGTGATTTCACTTCACTGCTAACTGAGCGCAGCCGATGATGACTCTTGAATAAATCGGAACGCTGCGACTATCTGCGATTTACAGTGATTAGTAGCAGTGTTTGTTAAATAATGTAACTGAAGTGATATATGATTTGGCGTACTATAACGAAATTTTACTTGTAACATGTGATATATTCCAAACCGACGGCCTAAAGTTTGCAAAGCCTCAAAAGACAATTTCCACTCCCCATCCTGTCCGCACTGACGTCTTCACGGGCTATACGAGATACAATCCACAATACGAGACGAGACGTTGCGATGCCGACGCAAAGCACCATACTCCTCCCAAAGAAGACTTCCGGATGAAGTCCAAACAATTGTTTGAAATGACAAATACATGACATGACAAAATGAAATGACAAATCTTTAAAAGAATTACATAAATTTTAAAAATAAAATTATTATTATTATAGATCCATTACGACAAACTCTACCAAATCTTTATATTCGCATTCTATTTTAATATATAATTGAAGTCAATAACTAGTTGAAATTAATTAATATTCGTAACTTACTAACTCAATTTTATAACTAATAATCAAAATATATTTAATTTATAATTAACAGTTAAAATCTACAACTTTAATGGCTTCATATTACCAAACTGTATTTACTTACTGCTGTGCGATATTGTGGCCACAATATATATAAAAATTATTTAAAAATGCTTTGCGATAAATATAAGCTTCAAGCGAATTGTTAATTTTTTTTAATTACAGGATACAGAGACACAATACCCTATTCCGCGGGAATGGCAACGCATAGGGAAATCTTTGGCAACATAGTATACTCTGTTACATCCGTAATACTGCTCCTATCTATGTGAGGGTTACCACTTTTCATTAAGTGGTCCATCTGCTTGATTGCCATTCTAAGCTGCATAAAAAATACATAGATATTTAAATTATATCTTTAAAGTGCATCATTTAAAGATGATTAGTAATTGACGCACATCTGATTCTTAAAGATCGATAGGATTTGTTCTAAATTACTTTTTCAGACTTCCACAAGACGATATGCAGCGACTTCGTGTCGAAAAGATGGAGCGACAACTGGCCAACCTGACAGGATTGGTTCAGAAGGCGCTGCAGGTACCAGCCACGGCTCCGCCTCCAGTCACGCCTCGCCAAGACTTCCAGGGGTATCAAGTCACTCGTCCAGCTTCCCAGGGTAACTTATATTTTATTTAATATGCAGGTACCACACAGATGTGCGGAGGAAACGATACCGATCACAAAATATGGTCAGCACACATTTATGGTATACCTATCATATTTAACGTTTTAGGAGTTCTTGTGGAACCACCGTGGCGTTAATATGAATCCCCTTTCTAGTCTGTTAATCGTGTTTCAATATCTACAAGTGTTACGACAACACGACAACAGGAGCAGATTAAAAAAATTAAGATATTACATCTTTTTAGAACTCGTAGCTTTAATAAAATAATAGAAAGATTACAAATACATAATTACTACTAACTGTAGATAGGTAATAAGTTTATTGCAATTTGAAATTTGCCCGGCTCCTATAAACGTAAAGAAAACGAGATGAATTGAGTTATTAATTCTCTTCTGACATTATTATTGTCACTTCAAAAAGAGACTAAAGTACTCATCTATAGGTCAATGTCTGTGTAAATGTTGAACGGCTTACTGTCGAAAGCTTTAAACTAAATGTCGCTTGCGTTTTCCTGCACTCAGATGCCGCGAGATTTGCCAGCAACGAGAGACCTCCCAAATTAGGGAGAGATAAATTTCGTAAGTGTGATTGGACGCGGCCCAAAAATAGCTGATGTATTACTATTGTCTAGTCGCGTTAAATTTGTTAATATTATTAATAAAATAATTTAAGATCTAAACGTAATCTTAATTGATTTTTTATTAAACTCATAAAAATTAAAGTAATGGCAACAACGGGAAGCTAGTTAAGATTTCTCCTGCACCTCAAGTTATTAGACCTATAAGCCGGTCATTTGACGTCACTAAAGCTCTTCATAGAATAGTGAAACAAAACCGCAAATTATGGGTTCCACCGCATTCTATTACCAAGAGAGTTAAAAGACTAGTAGACATTTCCGCACATCTCTGTATGTGGACAGGGAAAGCGCGACTTTCACTCGATCGCTAATAACGTGTGTAAAGCGCAAACAATAGTAAATTACAAATCAAGATGATGACATTCGCAATACATTACGCTATGTCTACTCATTGTCACGCTTGCCAAAAAGAGTTTTAAAAAAAAACTTGTTTTCAGCTTTGTTACAAACAATTGTATTAGGTTTATCCATTTTTGTCACCTTCATTCGCTACGTTTGACTATCGCCTAATCATCGCCTAATACAATGGTTTCATGTGTGTGCGTGCAAGTCTCATGGTAAACTGCAGCTGTAAAATTTATAATGTACATGTGTCATCTAATAGTTAGCTCCTCCACAAAACTCGAAAATGAACTAGCTGAACTCAGACTTTTATTATCGAAAACTATCGCTGAATCAGCTGATACCGCAAATTACATTTCAAAGGCGATGTTCGATAACAAATCTCCTATATTCTGATTTTAATGTTAGTTTGTTTCGAGTGTCCATGATATTACGAAGGGGCTAACAAAAGCTTTTTAAGTAGACCGTCATTGCTGCATTAAGTAAAAGCGAGACCATTAGAATTGGAGCCCACGTTATTAGACGCCTAAAATCAAGTGTTGAATTTGTGTCGTTCATTGAAATTAGCTTGGTAAGTTTTGAAACGAAGTAACTCAAGAAAATGTGCTTCCTAAAATATGCATGCCGTTGAACGTTGCTATCTATATCATCAACCGAATTTGTTTGGGAGATTTAATGAAGTGAACACGGATATTGCTCATGCCGTTGATGGCATTTGATCCATTTTTGAGTTAAATCATTTTGAAACTTACGATGTCTGTCTTTCTTATTAATTTTTAACATTCTGGTATTGATTTCTATTTATACACCTTTATTTTTATTACACATTCACTTACCCTATTTAACAAGTTTGAATACATTACACATCTAAAGTTACTTCACGAAAGCAATTAAGTAATTAATCAATAGATTGATTCATTCAAATATTTCGCTCGCACTATTATGTATATATATTCTATAATCACAAAAGCACCCAATTTCCAAATTCCTTCCCAAAACTTTTATTTTTAGTATACAGATATCGTAAAGGCCCTGTAGAGAAACAATATTTTCAAAATTTAAATGGCCAAAAATATTGACAGAGAATTTATTATTTCAGAAAAATCCGTGTCGTTTGAGAAATCGGTGTCGTTTTGTGATGATCCGCCCGATTTGAATTCTCCCAAACAACACTCGCCTCAACATTCAGGTATGCATACAAATTGTTATAATTTCATCTAAATAATATAATAAAAGTATATAGAATAATTTAGAGGCCTATATGATATTGTAATGATAGTATGCCAAACAAATCCGGTGGTGGTTAACCAAAGCCCAAATCAAAATTCTATAATTTGAAACAACAAACTTCCCCTATTTTAAGCAAAGTGAACATTAATTACGTACTCACAATAAACTTTGCATCATTTGTTATTATTGTTTATTTATTATTATAATTTCGTATTTTCTATTCGTTATCAAATCATTTCAGATTCAACATATTTTATAATTATTTGTGAATTGTTAGTTTTGTAATGTCATTTAGAAATTGAGTTATTACATGGCTGTTAAAATCTTTCTGAATGAAATCGTGACAATATTTTGTTAATATCAATTTAATCGTTACTATCACCACTACACCGGTTACTGTCAACAAAATAATTTCGTTTTATGATTAGTTGGCATCATATAACCATTTGTTAATATCGTAGAGTGAGCTTATCTTTAAGCTATCATGTTCTACGTTCTAAGAATGAAGTTAACCTGTTTCTAATCGTATACTATAATAGTTAAGCAGTTTTTACATTAAATCTAATACAAAGAGATTTATAAACATTTATTATTCACATCGTCCAAATATTATGTTCTAGTACAGTGATGCTAATTTACTTCATTCTTGGATGTTTCTAAATTCCTTTCTATAAATCTTTCTCTTTTATCACTCTCGTAGTTAATATCATAACCATATTCATAATTCTTGTATTTGATTTCTTCCCGCTTACTTCTTTGCCATAACAAGCCGATACCAAACCAACAAAACCGGCAATCAAATCATCAACTTTGCCGCGGACCTCCTCACAAGGTAACTCTTTGAAATCCATTGATATTGGTGTAAATATTTGGGCTGTGACCAATTTGTGCAGCCTACGCTTCCAATATTCTAATACAATAATTACAAAATAGGAGCTTTAAAATCGGAATGATGACATTGTAATAATATCCTCTATATGCAATCGCACAACAAAATATAACTAAAAATCTACTGATAATTGCAAAAGCTTACCCGTAATTGATAGTAAATATTGCTTTCCACCCTAGATAACAAAGCGAGGCTGCTACGCTTACAAACTTCGCTTCCACTGCGTACATGTTTAAAAACAGCGTGAACATAATTTTTAGGTATTTTATTTTTTATTGCATTTACAGAGCGAGACCGTCTAAAGCCTGCACCACCACCGAAACCAGCTGGTTTAGTTGGCCAACAACTTGCTTTGGTGCCACAGAGATCTTACACGATCAACGTCTCACCCGATTTCTTTAATCAACTCCGTATCCTGCAAAAGCAGAGTCGCGATCTAAGAATCGAGGTGAGTTATCTTGCATTTTAATAATTGAATTCACTCTTTTAATCGCGAATGTTTTTTTATCGCTGTGCGAATTATTAACTGTAATTGCGACTGATTCGTTTACCTTTTCTGTTAAATTTTATATTATAAGTAAATGCTGTTTGATCCACAGACTCGCAATTTGCGTCGATCGACTCTGGCTCACGCCATGCAAATGAGGCAACTCATGGCTGAAACTATTGTGAAGATAGGCGCCTTAGCGGCTAGTTTTTGCGAGCATGACCCCGAATCGGTATGTTTTCAAAATCTTTGCCTTTAAAATTAATGTCTTCATTATAAGTTCCTAAGTATATTGAAAGCTTTTGTTATTTGTAGCAACTAACTCGAGAAGAAGAAATTTACAGGCAAGATATGCTACTGCTCGAGAATGATCTATATGAACTCGAGGCAACTGTTGAACGTCTTCGCGGCCAAGCTGCCAATAAGTAAAAATTTTGCTTAATTTATTTTTTTATTCAAATAACATCAGGTTCACTAAGTCAACTCACATGACCAACTCTACTTGACAACAGAACTGTGTCTATTTCGTTTTCAAAGTAAGTCTCCGATAATGGTAAGATCTATTATTATAAGTAAAACTTGCTATTATGTTTAATGACAACAGTCAAAATGACTTCTGACTATCTAACCCATAGTCGTAAAGAGTTATTTTCAATAATGAAAGAATATCAATGAAACATAATTAACAAATATTTTAGAGAAACACGGGTTAACATGGCGGACATAGAACGAATCGCGATGGTACTCTCAAAGAGTAGTAAGACAGTTGCTGATTGGAAATTGAAGTTCCCGATTCTTCAGGACACGATGAAAGTCAAATTAGCTTCCGAGATGGAAAAAGTAAGTCACATAAAATTTATATAAAATTTTTATCTGGTCAAACTTTTGGATTTACGATATAATGTATGCTATTTATTATTAATATTAAATAAATATAGGGTTAAAATATAAAATATATATATATATATATATATATATATATATATATATATATATATTTGCAGGTTGTCAGAAAAGAGAAAATGTTAGAAGAGGAACCTGAACGCTTGGAATTAGCGTTAAGACGATGCAAGAAATTGACCGGGACGCTTGTGACTTTGAAAAGGTATGAGACTTCTACAGAAAAGAAAATATATTTATAAATTTATCTTTCTATGATATGGATATTTTGTATTATATCTTAAAATTTAAAAAAATCAAAATAACAACAAAATGCAATTATATAATATTTTCAGTGCAGCATGATACAAAAAATAGATTCAATTGTTATAAAAGTGGATGATTCTCTCTTTGTAAATTGAAGTGCCCCTACTATAACAACTAATCTATAACTTGTGGCATGCAAATAAATATAAACAAATAAATACAGGTTAGCCTGCGTTCAAGAGCAAAGACTTCCGATCACAGATGGTCGCATATCTCCAGGCTCTTCACAAAGCTCAACTTTTACGGGTGGACCATCATCTGAAGAGTTTAATTCTGATAGCACGTGCCATGTTGCGCAAACTCACAATAAGGTAACAGATGCAAAACTAGCTAATCATTAATCAATAAATCAATTTAGGAAGACCATTTTGACTGATTAACTACAATATTAAATTGATAAGGGTCTTTAAATTAGTTTTAGTTAGTTTCTAATGTTTAGCGAGAATTCGAATCCTAATTTCATCAAGAGAAAGTTCAAAATGACATTGTCATAGGTTTCATAATGCATATAATGTGAATAATGAAAAGTGCACCATTAGTCTTTTGTGTCTGATGTACTTGTTCATACCCCACCTTGTCACGTTTCGTGTTGTCGATAATATTGAGTATTTTAAACCCATTCAAACAGCTTTTTGATGTGACATCATCTCAGTGGAAATTTTAATGTTTAAGTCAATAAGTAATCAAATACCAGTCAAATCCCATTAGGGAACCTGTAGACGTTGTCACTCAAAAAGATCTCCATTACCGTTAAGACTACACAGCTACCTAGTTTTTTGAATGAGTATGACAAGATATTTGAAGATCAGGTAACGACTACATGACAATTTATAGAGTTCTAACAAAGATAAAAATGTCATAATAAAAAAAATATATATCTCCCTGTAATGTTAAATCCTGAAGATGTAATAACCTAAAATATACCTATTTTCCTGAACAAAATAGATGATTTTAAGAAATTATTAATCGTATCTACCTGTTAACACCATTTGTTTATAATTAAATCAATATTTACTGAATAAAATAATTACGTTACCATCCGCAAGTCTCGTTTGCGTTTCATCAGTTTTAACGACTCTCCCATACTAAATATTCAAATTTAATTCATTGATACCTAACGCAATGTTATGTCGACTTTATTCTTTAATTTATTTACAGACAGACTGTAAAGACATTTTAGGATGAATCATAATTACAAAGTATATTTATATGTAATTATATAATATGTATTCCATGTACCTAAACCACATTCGCTTAACAATTGCAGGTTTGCCAAAGGTTTAAAATTTGCATTTTTTTCCAACACTTCGATTTGTTTTTTTTTTTTATTTCATTTTTTATTATAATTTGCTCCCCACACCAACCCTACTAGTTTGTTGGGTAATGTCATGTCCTTAAGTATAGAATCTGCACAAATTTTTTGCTTCCCTACTGTAAGCATGCGCCCCCATTCTGTTTCTAACACTGAAGTTAGCATGTCATTTAATGCATTATTTTAATCTAGTCTAAACCTTACACCTATATAACCTACACCACAAGATACTGCCATGCCATAATCATCTGTAGTTATCGCTTATTAAGATTCATTTAGATTAACAATTAAAAATTTGTCCTACAGTATTGTGGTCCAACACGCATTATGGAATGATCCGGTTTGTATCTTAGCATAACCCGTGTATTCTGGATGTTATCATGAAATCGGCCTCAAAATTATAAGTGTACTTACGAAACACAGTTTGCGTTTCTTAAATACACTGCATTATTTACGAAATTGGCATAAAAAATTATATAACTTCGTCCTTTATTGTGTCACGCTCTGTCTTAATTTTTCAATATTCTTGAAAGATTATTTAAATTGCTTGCGTTAATATTAGATATGCTTTAAATTTAAACTAGATCGGAATATCTTCGTCGCAGATTTTAACAGTCATGCTGCGATATTAACTCCTGCTACTTACCTCTATTGACGGACTCGGAGAGAATTGAAATTAGCTTTATTGTATTATTTTCAATAACACTGACATATTATGAAGGGACTTGAAAAGGGAAGAAGTTCATTCAAGCGTATTTTATTATATCTTTTGCTATGACTTCGACAAAATTTGTACTAAATTTTAATTCAGTCTTCAAATTATTCTTCTTATAGTCGACAATGTTTACTTCTAGTTAGTTACATGCTCATTCTAATTTTATCATAATTGAAATAACTGTTTTTACGAAATATTATATTTATATATGTTAATTAAACTCGGATTTGAAAATATTTTTTGTAATACCTTTGTTACAGATGCAATATTACACTTAGGTATATGTTTATTCCATTATGGTGATTAATTTATAACTATGATATTATAATAATTTTAACGTAAATTACTTTTCTAAGTTCAAAAACAAATATTACCAAAATATTATAGGGTTATTGACATGAGTATCATATAAAAATACTTGCTTTTTCCCGCTACTTAGTACACGTGGACTTCAAAGGTAGGAAAACGAATTAAATAGATCACTTCTATATGAAATGTCAAAATTAAACACGCCACATTTTAAGTTAAACCTTTAGGAATATTACGATGAAAACTGAAATTCAATTTGATATAGTAATTTTTGCATAATGCCAAAATAAAAACAAACAAACAAATAAACAGACAGATTAAATTTTTCAAAAATGATTGTTTTGATCTCTATTGCGCTTATATAGTTTTTTTCTTAAATACCTTCCGTGTAGAGACGTCGTCTAGTTACAATTTTATTATATTTGTAAAATTTCAAAATTTAATACACTTTTAATGTTAAAGATAGGTACAAGACAGAGTGTGACAAGAACTTAAAACAGAATACAGTGAAATTTGGAAATTCTTTTGCACATATCCCTGCAACCAAATGCACTTTTCGTCAACGTTGCATTTTTTAATCCTTGCTTCAGGAAAACAATGCCAATTTTAATAACATTTCAGCCATAAACCAGATGTCGAACGTATGTAGCATTGGACCTGCTATTATCATGATCACTATTGAGTCCAAACTTGTTTGCCGTTTTGAACTTCTTGGTTTCCCATGTAATTTAATATTTTAAATTTATGTGCTTAGGTAGGTACATGCCGAATACGAAGAGGCAGAAATGAAAATCTTATTGACCTTGCGTATCATAAACTAGCCATCGGCACATCTCGTTAAGTCACTTCATTTCAATAATTTGATATCTTGTCCAAATGTATATCATGTCCAATGTAAATGAAGTGGCTACCAGATGAAAGAATAATGCGCATTACATATATGAATTTTTTCGTCTTTTTCAATCATGTTATACTTGTGTCAAAGACCAACTACGACTGGTCTGTCCCCACGAATCTTCTTCGATACTACTGCAATACTGTTTTACGTTGTGTCAATTTTATCGAATTGTTTTAACAATGGATTTCATGGTCTTTTTCCCGTGATGGTACCCGTCAGTTCGCCTGGAGACAGAGCCAATACTTCAGAGAAGCTATTGTTATTAACGAGTAATAAATCTCTTCGTAATATATCCATTATTATTATTCATTAACTACGTTTATAATATTTTTTTCTATATTTTATCCACACCCGTATTTTACTTTTTTAATACATTTTTCCTTTCAATATATTCATCTCTTGTTTATGTAAATTACCACAAATTTTGCTATTTTATGTAGGCATGTTAATGCACTAAAGTACACGATGCTTTAGCAATATTGTAAAGAAAATTCGCTTGTCTAACAACCATTGGAAAGACTTATAGAAATTTTGCCTATTTTTTCCAGTTCAGACAGTATTGAAAGAATCGGTACGCATGCTTACATATTTAACATTTTATGTACTTATTTGGAATTCCATTGTTACAAAAAGTACCTTTGAAAACGGCGATTTAACTCGAATTTCAGCCATTTAGTAGAGGATCATCTGGCATAATTATTGTTCTCAGCATTGCAAACATATTGCTGTTTTCATGGATACGTCCATTTTTAGGCATTGTAGCTGGAAATTTGTGGGCCATTATACAACTTTCAACTGATAGCAGTAATTATTGTCTTTCTATTTTATCCATATTCTTTTATATTTCATTTTTTCCTGTATCACTTGAAAGTTGTTATTTTTATACCATATGTACTTTAGTAATGAATTATAATTAAAATGAATCGATGATACCTATGATAAAATGTTAACTTTCTGTATCTATACTTCTACTCAATCTAAAATTAGGCCTACCACGTACAAAATTGTCATTTGTCGTATAGTAGATTACTTACCTATCTATTAGGACTAAATATGCACGTTGCATGAATTAAAATTATTTTAAAAATATACTTTGAATAAAAAAGAAATTACAAGAAATATTTTGATTGGAAATAATCCGGAAAAAAATGTATGACAATGAAAACAATTCAATTAAATTTTAAAGATAAAAAATAACACCACCGAATTTTTTCCAATTACTTAATTAAAATTGATGATTTGATAATTCAAAATATTTTTATTAAAAATTATTGGAAAGCCACACCAAGTCTCTAAACTATTAGTTTAATATTAACTCTTAATAACACGCATGTTGTATATAAGTAGATGCTTAACAATAGTTTGTGCATTTGCCTGTTTTTTGTTTTTGTTGCAGCGTATTCTCGATAGCAGGAGCAGCTCACAACCTAGAACTTCTGGAATGAATATGCCTTAAACACCACGTCTTCCATTTCCTCGAACTTCCGACCAACATACACTGTCTATAAGCAATTATATCACTCTCACAGAATAATTGATAATCTTCCTGATATGCTTCCATTAATTTCACAATTCTTACTCACTTAATTCTCCGCTACCTACCATTTCTATATTATCCTCTACGAAAGATATAAGATTGTGGTCGTCTATAACATGTCCTATTTCAACCCCCCGAATAACTGTTCTCTGACTTGATTTAAAAAATATGACTTAACTAATCCACGCATCCGGATCAAAGGTAATTCCTTTTCAAAATTTCTATGCTTTTGTCAGTATTGTTACTATAATATTAAAAATTTGTATACCTACATCGCACATACTATATTGATAAATAAAAATTGTGATTCGAAGTAGCTTTAGCAAACCACTTAAGCTTACAATTAGATTAGTTATTTTACTTGTTGACTATTAAGTAATTACAGTAGAGGGTTTGTTACAATTAAGTCATATATTATATTACCTACACATTTATTTAAATTTTTGACTAATGGCAAAATCATCACAATTGTTAAGAGTGAAATTCTTTTTGATATTTAAATATTTTTATGCATTTTTCAATATCACGGAATTTAAGTCATTATGTTAAATCTTTCGTATCTCACGCAATCCGATATATCTACGTACCTATTGGATATAATGTATTTCTTATAATTATTTCTTCGCCTGTTCGCCCTCTCCGATACTGACCACCATTTCGGTTCTATTTACCACAAGTCATAGGCCGCTCGACAACCTTTTTATTTTTTGTCGTGGAATAATTATTTCTGACATATTTATTACTTTGTGAATCCGATCCTTGTACAATTATCACTTTTAATATGTTTATAATTATTCAGCGACAGAAAAAGAAAGGGAATCGCCTTTTGTTTCTATTTTATTCTTTTGAATGATTGTGATCGCATTAAGACATATAGCTCTATAAATAATTGTGAATACTGTGTGTTCTTAATGGATCTTCCTATTTGAATGAACGTCTCTATATGTTTCTTTCAAATCTGTGTTTTGAATTGTTAAAAGCGTGGTTGCAAGCAACCAAGTGATTAGAACAACATTGTATTAAACGAGACGTTGTATTACTTGCAACCGCGCTTTTATGATGTCTGTTGGAGATTGGCGGGCACAGCTAGAAGTGCGTGGAATGGTGCGCAGGGCACCGGCGGGTGCGGGCGAGCTGCACCCCGGGGAGCAGCGGACGTGCGGCCAGAGAACGCCCTTGACGCGCTACTAGACGAGCTGCAAACATTCGCCAAGCCGTCCGAGCGCGGGGGACGCGGGGAGGGCCCGCTGCGTCGCCTGCACTCGTACCCGAGCGGCAGCGACACCGACGCCTCGCCGCCGGTGCGCGCGCGCGGCCAACACCCTCCCAAGCCTCCCGTGCCCGAGCGACACCCCGAGCTACTCGCGATGGCCGCGCGCCGCGCACCGCCTCCCCCTCCGCCACGGACGACTTCGCGCTCGCCTCTCGCCTCCCCCACCTCACCCTCCTCCCCGCCACGGATAGAACCCGATCCCCCGCACGCCCCAGACCCCAACGATGACAAGGCCTCGTCACGGCAAGCGCTCCTCGAGCAAAGACACCAGGAGCTCCTGAAGAAACAGAGGGCGCTGCAGGAGCAGTACGCTCGTCTACAGATGATTCAACGCAGCGGACCTACCCTCCCGCCGACCGCGCAGCCTGATTTAAAGAAGACGGGAAGCGAATCGAACCTTTTGACTAAGATGAACTTGAATCTTGCCACCGCCGCTATATCTGGGAGTATGACTCACTTAGCAGGCGAGGGTGATAGGGCAAAGAGTGTGGATGCTTCAACGGCACCGGAGAAGCCTTCGCAAGGTGTCAACATGACGGCAGAGAGCGTAGCAACTACGAACAAAGTTTACGAGACTGATATACTGTGACCTTGTAGTCGTTGCTTCATTGTATCTGTGTAAAGTCGAGTACTAGTTCATATAATGAGTACTAATGGAACCGTGGCAGTATTGTCCTCGGTATAATTTCGTGTGATGTACTGCGGACGTGTTATAAGCGCTCATACGAGTCCCGTTGACAGAGCCTAGCTAACAATAACTCCATATTAGTCATCGTGACGTCCAGATGACTAATTTGTGCTTATATTATGTCCCATGCTCGCTCCTTAGATTCATTCAATCCCATCAAATAAATAAAGTTCTGCTTATTGTTATTATAATTTGTATAGTATCCGTTGTGTTGCTGAGCAAATAATTTTTTTTCGGTTTAACGACGCCGCTTGTCCACTCCAAACCATATCACGTTCTCTGCATAATATCATTCAAATAACCACAAACACGATTCGGAAACGCATAAGACGGACACCGATCTATCAACAAATGCGACTGTAAGGCAAGAACACCGGAAGCACTGAGACACAATATTACAATATTATAAATAATATGAAGCAACACGAAAATACAAAAAAATAACTGTAGTTGATTGTTAATAAATGTAATCCGTCATGTCATGTAGACGATCGTTTACTTACTTGCGTTTGACTAAGTTACAATGAATCCATAACTGTCAGTATCGATATTGACATAATAATAGTTACAATACATTGTAAGTCTACACTTAGGTGATGCTCTTATGTAATATGTATAAGCTCTATATACCCACATTTTGTACATACGTCACTAAGTATACCTACCTAACTTTACCTACACTTTCTACTACGATTCGAAAGTAACATGCGTTATCCTAAGACTTATCTTACAATAATTATTAAGTGCCAAAAATACTCGTCTCTCACCATACAGTCAGTATATAAATCGTTTTGTAACTAAGCAACGACTTTTTAATGAATCCATGTCAAGAGGCATTAGAATTATAAAATTCAAAAGAAATTTAATTTCAGACACGCTATAAAGCTCCGCACAACGAAAACAAAGTTGTATTCAGTGAAGTTACTATCGAAAAATTTCTTACTTCTACTATTAAACTATTTAATATTTTTGACGGCTGGTTTAAGAAATTGAAAATATAGAATAAATCGACTGTGATAAGAGAGAGTTACCTATGTGAAATGAGTAAGAATTGAATTCTCCAATTTTGCACCGCGATTTACGTCTCTGTACGCATCTAATGGAATCTAAATTTAACGTTTAAAGTCGAAATAGTCATCATATAAAATATTCAGTGCACGACACACTATTACAGTGCACTCGTTTAGTCAAATTGATACTTATTTAGATAAAAACACTTATATAACTTCACCAGTTCGGTAAATACAGACTTAGGTAATGTGTCTACCTGGTAATACTTACGTACATATTCGGCGGACCATCATAGATGGATCTCCAGGAAGGTCAACCTACTACATATTATACTCGCACTTTAAAACCGTCAATAATATTAGTATAGTTAAATTAAACATAATTCTTTATAACGTTATAGTATAAATGTGGTCAAATTGATTGAAATAATGAAATAATGAGTGATATTGTTGTATAAAATAATTGTGTTAAAATATCCTTATTTTTAGACTCGAAATATATCTGCATTAGAAAATGTATAGAGTCTAGATATTTAGCAATAGTATATCTTATATGTTATACCAACTAAATGTTTGCGCTTTTTGAATGTTTGTTGCAAATACCTAACACAAAAATTTCTTATTATAAATGCACGAAAAATTTTCAAGCACTTAGATAATTAATTTTCGCGAGACGCGTTTTAATAGAACAAATTTTAAAATCCAAACAGGATAATTTTTTGCCAACTAAATGAAACAAACTTTCGAGAAGACCTCTATAGGTATACAATAGTGTCCGCTTTTGTATCGTAGATTGCCGGATATGAGTACATATTTTTTATTGAAAGTGACATAGATAAATAGTAGAAATTATATTTTCACACGGAATAAATTGATGGTGTACTTATTACATATTTATCCCTAACTGTCGCGCATAACTGATCACTGTTAGATCAGATGATTGATCATTAACTGATCACACGCCAGCAGACCGCTAACTGTGAGGAATTGAAATGTTTTCTCATTTCATATTCCTTTACGATAATTTTATTAAAATCACTGTTATGTAACATTTTGTATTTATGAATAATTTATTTATTCAATATTTAAATAATTAAGTGCATTTTATTACTTTATTATGCTGCAATATATCGAGACGTGCCAAACATTGCATAACTTGATTTGTATTGTAAGTATAGATGCAAAAGTAAAACGAATCAATTATATTTTACATTCTTTTTTTATACGCCATTTTTAATAATTTTAATATTATTACTATAATTATTATCATAATTAATTAAATATCTAGTTTATAAATTGTTAATAAATTAATTGTATAAGGACACGCAATGATTTCATAGCTTGAAGCTTTTTACCTTTTTATATTACTATTTTGTTTATTAATTTTAATATACCTACGTTATTATGTACTATTTCTTGTTTAGTTACGATTATTCATGTTAATTGTATAGTTTTAACAGGAATAGCTTGAAAATGTTTTAATGTGGAATTAAATAAATATATATACACGTCAAGTTATTAATTTGTTTCATTGTCCTCAATATTGCATTGTGAAGATGGTAACTGGATATAAAAATTTTACTCTCAATTGGAAAATAGTTGATTTTATTCTACCACGTAATCGGAATATAGTCACTGATACTATGTCCGTCTCCATCTAATACAGTAATTGTGTAGCAAACTCACGTTAGTAGGGATAAACAGCATCGTGACTTGTACAACATCGTAATGGTATACTCTAAAGTTCAAGAGATTGAATCTAGTTGAGAATAAAAACTCTGTGAAATTAACGATCACATGAACACTCTCTCTTGTAATGGAAAATGCAATTAGTAAACCAAATCATTCCAATACATGTTAAGCTTGGAAGTCAAATATGCTCAGCGAAATATGGATAGTTATTTCTGATAATTAACTGTCCACTGTTGAACATAGGTCTCCTCCACAGACTGTCAAAAGAAACGGTTCCGAACCATCTGCATGCATTGACTTCCAGCAATGCATTGGTCGTCGCTCTGTCTAGTGAGGAGTTGTTCTACACTGCGTTTGCCCATACGGAGTCGCCATCCAAGACCTCTATCAGTTTTCAGTTCTTCGAGCTATGTGGCCAGCCCATTGTTTTTCAAATAGCTTATCCTTCGGGCCATGTCGGTCGCTTTGGTCCGTTTGCGTGTGTCCTAATTTCGGATTCGGATCATGCAAGAAACTCCGAGCCCTCTCCATAGCTCATTAAGTTTCTAAACTTGGAGCTTCTACATACTGTTAACCGTGTAGGACCATATTTCGAGTCCGTAGGTTATCACTGGCAACACGCACTTGTTAAAGATCTTAATGTTTAAAGTTGAAGGTATTTTGTATTGAAATATGGATTTGAATTAATGGACTTAATTATAAAATAACGATATCTGATCTTGAATTCAGTGAATTTACAGAGTACAGAGAAATAACAACGGCCTCAGGAAAGGCAACGCATGGTACTGCTCATTTCTATAGGCGACGGTTACCACCTTTCATCAGGTAGACCATCAGCTTGTTTTCTATTTTAAATTGCATAAAAATAAATTTAATGAAAATAAAACAAAATTTAAATGGTTTTATTTGTTTATTCTTAATGTTTTAAACTATATATGACTGTATGTAACGCTGTCGTATCTAATTGTACGACAACCGTTCAGTTCATTAACACGACGTGTTACAATTACAATGACATTAAATGTAACATATTAAGTTCTTATAAATAAATTATGCACTTTGGTTCGCTAAATATATATTATGCGTCTGTTGTGTACACCTGAAAAAGAAAAAATACAATAATTAGATTGCTGTAAATTATCATTTTTGGGAGTCTGTTTATATGTATATAATATGTATTCATCGTCATATCGGCCATTAACTGTCCACTGCTGGACATAAGTCTTCTCCAGACAGAAAGTTTTGTCAGTAGTTGCTACGCTTGGTAGACGGGTTGGTAACAGCAGTTAGGACCAGAGGGAGACTTTGTACAAAAGTCGATTGCTCGGGTACCTCTGTCCCATTCGTGTTTCGACCGTGAAGCAGTTGTATTTGCATGGCTGTGTTTCGGTTTGAAGGGTGGGATATGGCGTTAATTTACTGGGTACAGAGGAATAACACCTGAGTCCTCAGGAATGGCAATGCATGGAGGGTATCATGGGCTTTCGCATACTGTTTCCAGTATACTCTGTTATGTCCATGGTACTGCTCATGTCTATAGGCGACGGTTACCGCTTTCCATCAAGTGGGACGTCTGCTTGTTTGGCATTCTAAGTTGTATAAAAAAAAGGCTTTTGTAATATTTTAAGAGGGACGCTGCTGCCCATCCCTGCTAAAATTAAATTCCCTTAGTCGCCTCTTACGACATCCACGGGAAAAGAAGAGGTGGTCTATTCTAAGCTGGGATCACATCTAAGATACTCTAAAGTCTATAAAGTACTCCATAACTTAATTTGACACACAAAATCGTAAATGTTCCGATAGGCATACTTTAATATATAGAATAATATGGCGACAAGTTTCTAAAATTATAAAATAACTAATTAACATAACATAACATGTCACAGACTCAACAAAATATTTAATTGTGAGAGAGTATCAGTTGATATTTGCTTTCATAGGATAAAAGACCCAAATTTAAAAAAAAAAGAATGTTAAACCACTCAATAGAGTTAGTTCTTTTAAAATAAAAAGTGCCAAAATATATATACATAATACACTATATGGCACACAAAATAGAAACATTTATTTACAAATATAAAAGAAAAACATCAAAGAATACCTTTCTTCTCAGTTTGAACTTCTTGTTATCTATGTAGTCTTGTAGGGCGAGGTATATAAACCTGTACTGCATCTTATTCTGAACCATCCCGCCCCTCTGCGCCCTCACCAGTTTTACTGTGTTATGTACATCTATATCACAGTTGAAACCTACAACAAACGGGTCACATTACGATGTTATGTCGCTAGAGAGCTTAAAATTAATAAACACTCAAGTTTATATAGATAGTAATTTTTAAATAAAATCGCTTGGTATTAACATGTAAGAACATAAGAATCTATTATTGTCCTTAAAAATCGCATAGCATCATAAAACTTAATAGCACACAATTCGCATAAGCAAACTTAATTATTTAAAAAGTCTAAAACTAAATTAAAGTAAAATAAAAACAACTAAATTAAAGATTATATTTCAAAATAGTAAACTATGTAAATTATGGACATACAAGATCACCAAAATAATAATAGTAATAATAAATATTAAAATTTAAAAATAAAATTATTAAATATAATAATAAACACATTTTAAGATTCAAGTAAAAGAAATTTAAATAAAAATAAATAAACTTTAAATTTTCTTCCTATTTGCATAATAATATGCTTACACAATCGCAACAAATTGCCTTACCAGCTGATTTTATTTTGTCGATGAGCATGTCCAGAACTATAAATGTACCAGTCCTGCCCACTCCAGCTGAACAATGGACGCACAATATATTCTGTAACATTAAATTAAGTAACATTGTTAATGTTTATTTAAAGAAAATTGAATACGAGGTCTGTCCGGAAAGTTCGTATAAAAGTGTTCTGGAATGCGAGAAAGAGGAGTGGGGAGGCCAGGTAAGCGCAGGACCCCTTCCTTATGTCCCTAACAATGCTTCAGTTCTGGTCTGACCGCCGTGCGGTGCGAACTGGCTTGTCACGCCATCTGTGAAGTTACCTCTTAACGAAACCCCGTCGGCATGGAGCCCGCTTCCGTTGAAGAGCAGCGCGTCGTAATCAAGTTTCTCTCGAAACTCGGCAAGAATGGCCGTGAAATTTTTGCCGATCTCAGAACAGTTTATGGGGATGATGCTGTGAAGGAACCAACCGTCCACAAGTGGCTAAAAAGATTCAGAGAGGGCCGAGACAATGTTGATTGTTTTTTTCGATGTTCGGGGGATTGTCCCTCCAGACCAGACAGTTGATGGAAAATTCTACGTCGATGTGCTCAGACGCCTCAAAGCTCGTGTGGCACGAGTTCGTCCAGAATTGGCGCGAGAGGGGCGTTGGATTCTTCACCACGACAATGCCCCTGCCCACACCTCTCTTGTTGTCCGTGAGTTTTTGAGTAAAAATTCCATTACGGTGACCGAACACCCCCCTATTCGCCGGATTTGGCCCCGTGTGACTTCTTCTTGTTCCCAAAAACCAAATTGGTACTTCGGGGGCGGCATTTGGGGGACATAAATGAGATAAAAAAAGCTACGACGGGGCAGCTGAGAAACCTACAACCAGAGGACTTTCAAGGAGCCTTCTCACAGTGGAAACGGCGTTGGCACAAGTGCATTATGTCACAGGGGAGTACTTTGAAGGGGATAAAATTGATTTACCTGAATAATTGTAAAATAAAATTTTTAAAAAAATTTTATACGTACTTTCCGGACAAACCTCGTATATCAAATTAACTCTATCAAATTACTAACAGTCCTTAACAACACCGTAACTTTTTTTTCCTTAATGGAAATGAAATGGCCAATTCAACAGCGCTATACACTGGTGTGGCTAGTGAATGATGATAGGTGAGGATTAAGTCAGATCAAGTGGCCCATTGTGACAAATTTGCCAAAAATTAACCACGATTGTTTTCAGGAGGGACCACGCGGAAATCTAACTAAGTCGAACTATTATACTACTAGATACTGAAGTTTAATATTTTTCCTGTCTGTTTTTGAGTCTAAATCAATTTCATTACCTGTTCAGGTGCATTTTTGCTGTGCATGAGTTGATACATTTTTCTGTTAATATCCGCAATGAAGTTAAGTACTCCGTCTGGTTCCGTGGGTGCGCCGTGATCTGGCCAGGACTAAAATAAAAAAAGGCGTCTTTATTTTATAATCTCAATTGTTTTCATATTGATCTTGAGAACTATAGTGTTACACCTTCGTACACTGTAGTTCAATTCATATCCTTCCTTTCAAAACAAATCACATCTAATTCCTAATCTTAAGAGAAAACTCTTATATATAACTAGCTGTTGCCCGCGACTTCGTCCGCGTTTCCGTCATTTTTCGTAAAATAAGTATCCTATGTCCTTCCTCACGGTTCAGTGGTTTTGATGTAACAGACACATTTCCCTTCACTGCTCTGCTCCTATTGATCGTAGCGTAATCAAAAGTATACTATAACCTGCCCAGGAGTATGAAGAATAATTGTACCAAGTTTCGTTAAAATCCGTCGAATAGTTTTTGTTTGTATAACGAACATACAGACAGACAGAAAGGCAAAAATTTTACTGATTGCATTTTTGGCATCAGTATCGATCACTAATCACCCCCTCATAGTTATATTGGAAATATATTTCATGTACAGAATTGACCTCTCTACATATTTATTATAAGTATAGATAGATATGTATTAACTAAAAACTTAAAGAACACATATTTTTAAAGATTAAAGCTTTAAATTCTTTAGAAAATTAACCAAATAGTCATGTGGATAGTTAGTACCCACTATTTCAATATATTTTCACAAAATTAAAATAAGAAATCTTATCTATTACAAAAATAGATATCCCATATATCAATTAACACTGGCGACGTAATCAAATACCATAATCACAAAAAAAAAAACCTTTGTAACCAAAAAAAATAGAGTGTGGATTTTTTGTTGAAATACATTTACACGTACGTACCGTAAACTGATACTGGTAGATAGTTCTGCAGCATTTTTTATCATCAGTCACATCGAGTTCTCTCAGCAGATAGTCCTCGTAGTGCGTCTGCGATATTGACTTCACCGTGAGGTTATCGAACCTTTCCTCGTGACCTGAGTGGGGCCAGTAGCGCTCACACTTTTTCTGTTAAAAAAATATATGTTTTTGTGTTAAACTATGATTGAACAAGGAAGAGTCTTAGAGCGTCTTCATGTAACGCGTAGCTACACAGCAAAAACAATACAAAAATCGGTTTTAGACAACATTAAAATTATGCATTCTAAATAATAAAGATTGTTCTTTTATAGCTACATACAAATTCGCTGTGAATTTGACCTATATTGCAAAAAGAAATTTGTCTCCTTAAAAATTTTATATCTACATTTTACATAACCCTTATCGTTTTTTTTTTTTAATGTATGGTAATGTAATAGTAAATGCTGCGCTAACAGTACACTGGTGTACTGTGAGGGATGATAGGTGAGAATGAAAAGGCAAGTCAGTTAGCGCATCGTGGTAAATACGCCTGGAATTCAGCACGATGATTTCCAGGGAAGATCACGTAGAAGTCGACTTGCCAAGATATATTGCTAGCAATAGAAAGCGGACTATCAGTCTCATTGCTAGCAATATACCCTGGCAGGTCGACCTCTACGTGGTCCCCCTGGAAACCATCTTTCTCTAGTGAGCCACCTGCATCCACTGAGACACCACAAAGCATTTGAGATCATCACTCTATCTAGTGGGGATCGTCTTACATTACGTTTGCCTAACAATCAAATCGCCAATCAAAACCTTTCTTCATTATACTATATTTATATATTTTAATTTTATATACCTTTCCATTTTCATATTCATTCGTGATCATGGCTATAATTCTCACGTCTTCCTGCCATATCATCCTCCAGAAGTCATCTTTTGTGTTTGAGAGGCAACCTTGAGCGGCGATGTATATTTTGTCCTTCACTGTAACTAAAACATTACTTGTATTTATTATTAGATATACGGAAAGAGTTATTTTGTATTGTGTAAAAGCCATACTTGAATATTTTAAACGCATATTATCGCATTGTTTGTAGTTTGTGACGTATTGTTGCGTCTACTATTTTCAGTATGTACTTGTTAAAAGAATAATGTTTTTTTTTTCTTTTATATGCTTACTAGATCACTACATAGTATGAAACAAAGTCACTCCCCGCCGTCTGTATACTTAAATATTTCAAACTACGCAACGGATTTTAATACGATTTTTATTAATAGATACAATGATTCAATAGAAAGTTTTATACATATAATATAATACAGGTATATTATAGTAAAGAAAAGCCAAAAATTTCAATACGTCTAAAGTGATGCCATAAAAAACATATTTTTTTGCGATTTCATTGCAAACGCCGACAAAACCTTAAAAGATAGATCCAAATAATGTAGTATAGAATTATATATTCTAAAATTATCTAGAGAAATTTCACGTTGGTATATATGTATGTCCATCTTCTAAGAATAATCCCCAACAAACATTTTTATCTTTTACGTATTACAAAAAAAAAATACAGGTAATTTACGAAATTATTTTAATCAATACAGTATCATTACTTATCCAATTAAATACATTAGATGTATTATGCATTTAATTTAGATCAAAATTTCCTTTTACAGTGTATCATTAAAATTAATATCTCAGAAGTTATCAATGATTTAAATTGCGAGGTCGGAGGGACCGTTGGGCTGTACGTATGCACCGGGTAGCAGCGGCCGTACGTTGATGTGTCTATATTGCACCCATGCAAAGTCAGGGCGCGTCGCTAATATATAATTAATTTCAAAATCGTAATGAGACTAAATATAGCAAATGTTTGAAATTATAAAATAAAAATATCAAATACATATACAATATGAATAATACCAACAAAATTTCATAGATCAATAGCAAGTTTTAGATATGCAGTAGGTTCGAAACTTTCCAAGACACAAAATATATATATCGGTACACTTTACTAGGTCTTTTATAATAATTTAAAGTAAATTTAAATAAAAAAAATAAATCAGAAGAGTTTGTTTGGACACACATTCGATTTTGACTCTTTTAAGACTTACTTTTTATTTGATGCTATAACAGGGTAAGGTGAAAAATTCTCGGCCTGTCACAGAAATAGCAGTCTAATGAGTAAAGATTTATTTTTCTTGCCTAGGTGCATGTGTCATTAGTTCGTATGATAAGTTTAAACTTGTTCTCTCAAATAATTTACACAAATTTTTGCAGTAAACGTCGTGTATAATTTTCGTCAAAATGGATATACTTGAATATCGTGCGGTCACAAAATTGGTACGATTACGGGGTACGATTTTTACTCGGTCATCCCCCCTATTGTCCTGATTTGACACCCTCAGACTTCTATCTAGTCCCAAACTCGAAGAAATCTGTTTACTGGAAAGCGGTTCACGTCCGTAAAAGAAGTTGAGAGGGTCGTAAATGAATATTTTCACAACTTTCCAGACTCTAACTTCCGGAAAGGAATACTGATGTTAGAGAAACGTTGGATCAAGTGTGTTAAAGTCAAAGGAGATTATGTAGAAAAATAATAATATTTTTTTACTGAAAATCGCATCTTTTCATTGTCAGGCCAAGAACTTTTTACCTTACCCTCGTATATGTATAGAAGATACAAACTGTTTATTTATCTATGTACTTATTAATGCGACTCGTTTAACATCGTAAACATGTTTTGATCTGAATTAATTGGGTTAATTAATGTAGACTCAAAATCAATAGTTATCTTATAATTTTAGGTTTATTGGAGAATAATCTAATAGTGATGTCATTGTATGTAGGCAACAATATAATTAATGTGACGCTGGGTCACTCGTGATATCTCTCATGCGTTGCCATTCCTTAGGACTAGCGGGCCTCTATGCTCTATAATTTCACTGCCATATCTCACCCTTCAAACCGAAACACAGCCATACAAATGCTTTGTGGCAAAAATACGAAAGGGACAGAGGTATCCAAGCAAACGACTTTAACATTTTTATTAAGAAAATGACGAAGTCGTATTGTTTTCTATTTTGTAGATAATCTTTATTAGGGATATAAATATTAACGGAAGATATTATCATGCCGTTAGAATAATTATAAAAACTCCAATCTTTTATATATTACTAGTGACAGTGATTTTTAAATAAGATTATGTTGCACGAAAGTAACAACTAATCTCAATTGTAGTAATAGTAAATCAGTTAATTGTAATTTAACAACTAAATTACTGAACCGATTTTAATAAAATTTCTATGAGACCAGTCTGTAAGTATAATCATTTAAAAAAAAAGGATTTTCCAAAGCGGTTTAGAACTGACAGAGTTATGAGGTAATAAACATAAAAGAATACAAGTTAATGAGAACCTCCTTCTTTTTAGGTCGGTTGAAAAGAAACGTTATGCTCTTAGAAGCAATGTTCCGAATACAGAAAGTATAACACAGCACAATTCAACATATTTTTAGATAATTTGAAAGAGATGTAGTAATTACAATAGTATTTTTTTATGTTCTACATACAGGGTACAAATTAGTAACAAACAAGAATAGTTGTGTTTTATGCAAATCAACAATCAGTCTGTAAGTGCACTGGTATATCATAAAAATAATTATTATGAAATTATATGTGTGTTGGTAACTCGGTCAACATTTTGAGTGGCATTAAAGAAATGCATCACCAGAAAGGTACAAGTTGAATAATAAGAATGAATCGACATGTATATCATGTCTTGAAAGTAAATCACATAAAAAATCCTTTTTTTATTAAGTTAAGAGACAGCATAAAAGCTAAATCAATTGCTACACTTTGATTTGTGTGACTCAATAGAAACTACATCGTAAGCGGTGTTAAATATTATCCATTAATTAAAGATGATTACACAAAATATAAAATAGTATATTAAAAAAAAAACTACTAAGAAAATAAAAGTTTTTTTTTTTTATTTTGTAATTAATATACTTTTTAAAGTTAAAATTATAAAATCAGATTGTGGATTGGAATTTATTATTAAAAATTTGAAATTATTTTTAAATAGTCTAGATATTATTCATAAAAAATGCATACCATACACATATGAACGAAATGGTCGTATAAAACGTGAAATACGAACAGTTACAGAAGCCGCAGGAACCAATTTGCTAGCAAGCGGTTTGGATAAATCTTTATGGGCTAAAGCCCACAACAGTGCATGTATTAAAAACAGGTAAGAGTAGAATAAAAGTCGAACCGCTTATGAATTGTGGTTTTAAAGAATTTTTATGATCTAAATAACTTGCAAATATTTGGTACTAAAGTAGCGTTAATTAAAGGCGTAAAAAGTGTGATGGTAAATCAGATATAGGTTACGTTGTTGGCTATGGCGAAACAACAAAAGGTTTTATAAGACCTTCATTAAAAGCACTGGAACTAGAATGAGGAAACATCTGAAGATAGTTTCAATCCCATAGTGGTAAAGGAAACAATGACCTTACAAGGAGATACATCAATATCCCAAAAACAAACTCAAGATGGATTTTAAATTGTCATGTGGTGATAGAAATCGCAAATAAATTAATTATTAATTATGTATATATACAATATATAATTAAAATAATATTCCAGTTTTTCAGACTTCAGAAATATGAAAACTATTCAAATAGACAACTTTTAGATGACGTATCAAGATAAATAATATACCAGATTTTAAACTTTCAATTTTTTCGTAATGTCGGCACATAATTTCAATTAGACAGAGAGAGAGAGGGGGACAGACAAATTTTCTTAAAAAAACATTGTTTAGGCATCTATTGAGATATTAAGAACCCTGGTACTGATTTTACTGCAATATCTTATCCTCCATGTACATACATCGTTTAATTATAATTTTATTAGATTAGAAAGATAAGATAAAAAGTAAGATAAGATATATAAAAGTATAAATACAATTATAATAATAAACCCTTTTTATTTTCATATTTCTAATATATTTACAGTATCGTTAGTATCTTATCTATTTATAATTTTCTCTTAATAACTACTTGTTAATGCAATTCGTACTTTATAATTATTGGATAAGGATGGATTTTTGGATGAAGGCCTCCTCCATTTTTCTCTATATACTAAATCAAGCTATTATGAAATACTAATAAATATTAGCAATTTTATGAATAAAATAAATATCTTACGTAAATGTTAAAATAAATATAAGGCAATTAAGTCATTCAAAACATGATGGTAATTAAGTTTAAGGTATCCATTACATATAAAACGCCAACTACACGAGACATTATAACAATCTCATTAGTTGTACCAAAATAGATTATTAATTGACGACTCCTATATAAAGTATAATAGAGTATCAAATATCCTGCCTCCATACATATTGTTACTATATAATTTATTATAATATATGTATCATATCATTTATTATTATATATGTATTACTTTTCTAATACTTGCTAATAACCGTTTGTATAATTATTCGTTATATAGTACGTCATGCTATTCGATTCTACTGTGACGATATAATAAAAGAGCAAAATATAAAGATGGTAGAAAAATAAAATGTGTATCAGCCATTTAACTACCCACTGTTGAACATAGGCCTCTCCCATCAAGGAGGATTTTGCTAGTAGTTGCCACGCTTGGCAGGCGAGTTGACAACTACAGTTAGGGATTTGGTGGTTTTGGTGTTGTAAGAGGGACGCTGCTGCCCAACCTTCTATTCTATTCTAACTAGTATATTCCCTTAGCCACCTCTTACGACATCCACGAGAAAAAAAGGGTAGCCCTTTCTATGCCTGGACGACACAGCAACATTAGAATTATACATGACATTACTTCTGTACTTTTTACTGCGTCTAATGGTATATTTATTAAAATATACAAATCATATTGGTGACGAAATATATATAGATAGCTAAGTCACAAAACGACATGAAGCACAGAAATTTCTTTACACTCCTCAACTTTTAATTCTTTTTTTTTTGTTACAAGAAAAATGTCAAATATCACAAACATGTGTTATCGAATCAGATATTTACTATACTATCATTCTTCGATTTTCATTTTGGCTATTTTTTTTTTTCTTTTTATCTGTTATAAAATTCAATAAACGGCATATTATTTATATCGCTTTTCCGGCGTTATTTTTCAATTTTCTAATTATAAAGTTAAAAGGTTCCTATTAAAATCAAAGGATATCGTTATCCTATTAAGATAAATTATAAAAGCGACCATCTAATAATCTAAATCTAATAATTGTTTATATTTAAACATTGTCTCATGGGGGCAACTCACCTGCGTCACCACATAGGTTCCCATTAATTTTGTCCAGTTTGTAACTCATCTTGACCTCTCTGAGAGCGTCGTCAGATAACGATTTGGACACCAGAGGCGTAGGCTTCCTTGGCTCACTTCTCATTATCAAAGCTGTAACAAAAACAACGTATCAACTCAAAGAATAATTGGTTAATTAGAAATTGGTATTATAAGTTTGAAAACATTATAAAATGCTTGTTGTGTTGTTTTAGATTCCATACTAGTTTATAAAAATACAATATATACTCTAGACTAATTTTACATGGCACTATCAAGGGTCAAACTTAGTGGAACTTATAAGAATAAGAATACTTATATAATATTATGAACACACGAGATATGCTTAAATACCATTTAGTTAAAAAAGAAAAAATGGGAGTTTTTCTTCCAACCCAATCAAACCAGGTCAATCCATGAATATAAATTGTTAAAACAAATGGTGGGTAAATTTTATATTGATAGTGAAGAAATAATATAAACAAAACAATTACTTACAAATAAAATATATTTTATTTTTTAAATTTTTTAATTTTTTTATTTAAGGTAAAGTAATATTGAATGTTGACGGGATAAGAATATAATGTATCATTTCCTACCATAAAAAACTGATTGTACAAGAAAAAGCTTGAAGTACAACTTTATACCATGGCCAACTTACTGGACTATGAGACATTACTCATTTATTGTCGATATATTATGGAAAATTATAATCTAGCACGTCTTGATCGTAAATTCGCGATATTTAGTGTTTTGTTTTTCATATAATTTCTTAGTGTTTAGATATTTTATTGAATGTAGGTATCGTACTTAAATAACCCTAGTAGAACTTCCTTAGAATATTATTTACGAGGTACTTAATCATTCTTTAAGTACTAAACTATAACTGCGGTAGATACCTAACCACTTATTTATCGAGTTGGGTTCTAATGTGATTATTTATGGCATGTTATACTGAAACTAGAAGGAGATAGGTTGAACTCCCTGTCTTCTAGGTTGTACAAAAAGAATTATAACAATTTATTAAAGTCAATAAAAAATTATTTTGGGTTTACTGGAAGGGAATTCTTGCAGAGTTAAGCTCGCTTTAATACTATTGAAGGAAAATAAGGAAATAGAACGGCCATATTGTTGCAGTTATTACTTGTGTCAACAATAAAATATAAAATAAATAAATAAACAATTTCTATTAATTTAGTAATTACTTAATTTAGAATATGTACAATTCTTCTAAAATTCCCAACAAATTCACCAGAATGGTCTAAATGATCTGACTGCATTCACGTCATTTCATCACAATGGTGCTACTCCACTAATATGGGCGAGAACTAAGTACACGAATCCTTCTTCATCTATAAAAACATAAAATCCTGTGGGCATACTTACAGTGTACGCTGTCCAAACTTTCGTTTGAAGACTGGACAGAGCTCGACGAATCACATAAGCGAGAGGATCTTATGTAGTTAGCGTTTATGTAGTCCGCGTCAGGTTTGTTGTTGGATCCTCGAAGAACGACACGGGTCTGGTCATCTAGAACGTTCCAAAATAACATAAAATATTATAAAGTGCCACACGATCACGCCTATTGTCTGGTCCTAAAACTAGATTATAGTTTAAGAAAACCGAGCAACAAAAACTGAGGCACGATCTGGAACACCTAGACAAGAGCTAATTCAGAGAGTTCGTTTACCGACTGTCGAGCCCGGGACTTCATTTACGTAAAGCAACGTGCTCACCACTGCGCCACGAAGGTTAACTTTTACATAAAATATTAAAACAGATTTTTGAGACAGTACAAAAAAGGAGTATCTCACGTCGCCTCCATTTTTATGTGTATATTAATATTGAAAATTCTTTGTTAAATTTATAGGATTTATTTTTGTATACAATATTTGCGTTGATATTCGCGACACAATTTTATACTTCTGCGGATATCATGATTTTCCAATAATATTGTAACCAATGTTTTTGTTTCAAATAAAGAATTATTATTATTTTTACAGCCTTTTTTTTTATTGTTTTCATATTTGTCCCATATTAATTTGATTACGATTGCAAAAGTCGTTTTTTTTTACCCAGCAAAATGTTAAATGAAATAAATACTAATTGTTTCCTGCAACTACGACCGCGTGCATCAGTATGTAGCATATGTTATGTCTATTAAGTTATAACATACCTGTTACCAAATTTAATTCAAAACCATTCAACCATGGTCGAGTAACAAACATACATCTAAGCATCTTTACCTATATTTATAACGTCAATAACTTGTTGTTGTTAATAAAAAGGATTTGTTCCAATCAGTGGCATAACCATAACCATCTGAGGTCCGTGGTAAATTTATTAATGAATTTAATGAAATTTATAATAATCCTTTATCTAATATAGGTAAGTATTTACTTGTTGTAAATAGCAAAAAATATAAATTGTTGTAAATTTGCTATTTACAACAGGTTATGGGCTCAGCTCTGTAAGTAGAAAATTTTCATGATATCTAACAAGAGTAATTCGCCAATCTCTTTTGAAAAACTCAAAGGACAATGTTAAACTTAAAGGGTGAACAATGTAGATTGAAACTTTGCTATTTACAACATTACTAATACTGTTACAATTAATGTACCTATTTTTAGTTTCATTTGAAAATGTCTTGTTGAAATTCTGATAATTTATTTGTATACTTCGTGTATGTTCTGGAGTTAATACTCTAATTCCTCAAATTGATTTCTTTTTCTTTAATTATGCAAGAAATGTTATACTCTTTCTGTACTCAAGGCCAGAATCAGGGGGCCTCGTCAGGCCAGGAGCCTGTGGCATTTTGTCTGCTTTGCCACCCTATTGTTACACCAAACAAACAGTAATATGTCAAGTATAGTATATTCCATACCGACCGCGTCTAACAAAACATTTCCTTTGTGTCGCGACATTATAATGATCGATTGCATATTAAACATGCTACGCAAGTGGCTAATGAATCTATCGATAGAATCGTTATCGCTACCGGAGTGAGATAGCTATAGATGGCGATATCTGTTGTCTTGTTCTTTCTCATGCACGCGCCAACCAATACGTCTCTACCAATCGTAGAAAGAGAATATTGTAAAACTGCTGTCTAGGTGTTTGTTACAAATAAAAAATATACGACAATTAATTGATACATTTAATATCTTAATAACCTCATGAAACAGTATTAAAAAAATAATAAGTGACAGACGGGTCTATCAGTAGATATGTTTATCTTACCGCTCGTAACTAAGAACAAGATGTAAGATATTGCCGTCTTATTTTATCTCATGCAATGGACAACGATAATGAACAATATTTTTTTTTTAATTGAATTGATATATTCCTGTACTATTTCTCAAAGTGAGCGAGTAAATTAGCTTAGATTAATACAAAATTACTGTTTTTTTTTTTTGATGGGTGAAAATGGAATGGTAACCCCGCCTGCGCTAACGGGATACGCTAGCGGAGCACCAGTGAAGCGTAATAGATGAGAATGAAAACAGGCCAATTAGCCCATCATGATGAATTCATAAGAAATTAATCATGATAGTTTCCAGGGGGAACCGCGAGGAGGTCGACCTGGGTATATTGCTAGCAATGGGATTCTTAGTCTCCATTACTAACAATCCCTTTCCCCCCTGGCTGGACTGTTAAAAAATATACCTACATTTTTAATCTGCAACTGAAATCGAATGTTTCGCTTATGAGCAAATCTTCACATATGACGATAAATATGAGAAGGGATATCGACCCGCCCTGGCTGTGCAAGGTTTTATAAATAAAATACAGCCCATATAAAAACTTATATTATCTATAGGTGATTTTTTTTTAATACAACTTAGAATAGCAAACAAGCTGACGGCCCACCTGATGGAAAGTGGTAACCGTCGCCTATAGACATGAGCAGTACCATGGACATAACAGAGTATACTGTTTCGCCCATTATACCCCCCATGCGTTGCCATTCCTGAGGACTCAGGTGTTATTTCTCTGTACCCTGTAAATTCACGCCATATCCCACCCTTCAAACCGAAACACAGCCATGCAAAACATAACTGCTTTCCGGTTGAAACACAAATGGGACAGAGGTACCCAAGCAAACGATTTTGGTACAAAGTCTCCCTCTGGTAGGGGATAGAATTTTTAAAATAAACACTTTTGAATTACTCCATTACAAAAAAAAATCAAGTCTTTCCTCTCTATAATATTAGTTTATATTTTGTTTTTGTCAAGTCACATATTTAATTAATAATTACATTAATACAGTTAAATTTAAATATCTGATCCTTTATTAATTATTTAAAAATTTGTGACATATTGCACTCCCGACGAGATTAATTTTTCTCTATGTTCCGAATTTAAACAATTTTAAAACAAATTTACGACACAAAATTAAGTTATCCCTTGGTCCATTTCATTTTTACCACAACGTATCTATATCGTGATGCATGTGTAATAAACGATATAAATAAAAAATACTTACATGGCAAAATATTTCTGTATCTATTCTTGATTGAATTTATTGATTTCTGTCCCTCATTTGTAGTGAACACGTGTCTGTCTTCCAGCATTTTGAGTGCGTGGAACTCACCGTCAAAGCCACTTTTGTTTTCCAGCTTTTGCTGATCTTCAGATTCCTTTAAAAACATTCGTAATAAGAAATCGTGTTAAGTAATAAAATCCTTAACAATATGACTTATGCAATAAATACAATAATTGTATTCTATTCTATTACTTTTTATAAAAATCGATTTTTAAATCACGAACATCAAAGCCAGACTATTGTTGTTCTTTATTTAGATTTGTTTTCTAGAGAACTTTTTTTTTCTTTGCCTAGATAATATAATGTTTTATGCCAGTATTACTTATACTTACAAAATATGTTTGTGAAGTTAAAATTATGATTAGAATTCTACTATGTACCATATATTGTAATTTCTAAAAAAAAAATATTAATAAATTATTAAAAAAAAAAAAGCATGGGAATCGAACTTTGCATTGTTGCAATATCCATTAATATCCAAGTTAATTATATTGAACATGTTGACTGACACGTGAGTTTGTTAAGATATCCTAATAGGCTTATAAGAATGTAATGTATAATTCAGTAATTGCAGTGGAATCACTAGAATTCACTATGTCACATTACTAATCGCTATTGTAATTGATACCTTATGCTTATAGCATTAAGTGTATAAACAACATTAAGAAAATTAATTTTATTGCGACATACAATAGTTTACATTTTCACATAATATGTGGAAATCATATTAATGTGTGCGAAATGCCAGTTATAAAAATAGCTCCTGGTTACATACAAATAAAAAAAATAAAATATAGAAATTACATTATACTTAATAATATGTATTTATTTAGATTTATCGAATAGTTTATTTACACTATTGAATTTTTAAAAATGTTTTGAATATTAATATTTTTACAATATATACATTTCACTACCCCAGAATAAAATAATTAACCAAATCAGAGTAAGTTTTGTTTGGCGCTATAGATTAAGAATAGTTTTTTTTTTTTAAACAAAGCAATGCGCGCCTTTTTTCTTTGTTTCAAGTAATTCAATAAAAAAATCCCAAATAAAATCGATAAGCAACATTATCTTTGGCCTTCTCTTATTTACATGTACACGTACTTAATCCCGTAAGCATTCAATTGATGCCAAGTTTTTTTTTTTTAATTAATGTTTGTTAATGAATCTCTTATATGGAATAAAGATAAATATAATCACTGACCTGCATCTCTTGAACCTTCTGATCGATATCATGCGCCCTCAGCTTGGTGCCGCTGACTGGCTGCAGGAGTCTGAGCACGTCTCCAGAGGTCTCAATCATGGGATATGAACGGAAATGCTCAATCAGACCCACCAGGTCGTCGAACTGTTCGCCGCTCCCCACGTCGTATTTATTATGCTGCAAAGAAAACATTTATCAAAATATCGTCTACTTTAAATTATTTACAATATACTCTTTATAACGTGTACATATTATTCTTTTTGATTCAGAATATTCATACAACTAACGCCATCTTTTGGTGTAAGCTGATCAATAAATATCTTATAAGACAGTTATTGTCTTTGGTTGTTCTAGAAAACTCTATGAGAAAAGGGTGCAAGTAATAACAAAATATTAAAATGAAAACTTTTGAAAACGATTATCTTTGTCTATGGTAACGGTACGCAGTTAAATTACATTGACCAGTACAGAGTAAGATGCACTGTCAATCATTGCCTTGAAGAAACATCTATGCATGTTGAAAATTATTAAAAAAAAATGTATAAGCACAAAAGACCTCAACTCATGCACATAATTACGTAACAATGGTAAATTGCAGCTCAATCATTGCTGTACCTTAGTGTCTTTCAAAGTGTGCATTACATTTTCTAGGGGGGCGCGGGGGGGGGTGGTCCCCAAGAATCTACAAGGATCATGACCGTAATATAATAAAAGTTTTTAATGTAAACGATGCCTTTTTTAGATACTTTATTATATATTATTTATTCATTTTATTGTATTTAACCGACACCTAATTATGAATATAAATAAAAATTTATAGATTTGATATTTACAATATAATAAAACACAGTATCAGTATCGTAAAATATTTATACACATTAGGGGGATCGGACATGGAAAAGTTTGAAACGCACTGCTCTATCTAATGTTTGTGTAAATAGTAAAATGCTTTATAGCTAAAGATCCTTGTTACTGTCAATTTAAATGAATGAATAGTTATGAATTACCATTGTTATATCTATTTGTTAACGTTCAATTGTTTTGATCACTTAGATATTTTTATTATTAGTATAATTCTTTATTTCTTTCGACAAACTTTAAACAAGATTGTGCGCGCCATTTTTTAGTGTTGCAAGTAACTGATTTAAAAATACTCCTAATCAGGTTTTTTTTAAATTAGATACGGTAACTTTTTTTTTCTAAATATACATGAATTATACAAAATAGTAGCCAACTCAATGATTTCTAACCGACTTCAAAAACGATGGAGTTCCTCTATTCGATTATATATATATTTTTTTTTAGATAATTAACATAACTCCGTTATTTAGAAAGCGATTTCATAAATAATTATTTTATCAGAATATATTTTCAAATTGGTTCCGTAGAAATTGATATTAATTTTAATTTTACCATTACCATACCTTACCATAGTAACCATTACCATAATAACCATTTTAATTTCGATGTTTTTCTTTATTTTTTGTACCATTATTTCATCATAACGAAAATGTTTAATAATTGTGCTATGTAACTATAGGAAAACAGATCATAGCTACTAAATCTATCTCAAGTTCACTGCTTTATCGTATCCACTCGACGGAATAATAGGCGGATATAACGGTGACCTTGACCTAATTCCGTTCTTTGGGGTGGGCTCGATTTATGGCTTCCTCTTCCTTTCATCCCTAAAGCCCCGCATTCACGATAACGATGGCCCGTATGTATCTGGCGATGTCGTATTAATTTTTAACCGATTTAAAAAAGGAGGTTCCTAATTCGACTTTATATTGTTTATTTATATATTATGCGGTATCTTCCCCAATTCTGCACCGATTCTCATGATGCCTCTCAACCATTTTCACCCATCAAAAAAAATTTTTGCTAACAATACACCCTATCAGGTCGACCTCCACGCGGTTTCCTCTGGAAACCTTAATGGTTAATTCTTGTTCATTTGGTCACTAGGGGCCAACTGACCTGCCTTATTCCTCACCTGTCACCCTTCACTGGTGTCCTGAGAGCGTATACCAATAGCGCATGCGGGGTTACCATTCCATCTTCGCCAATTAAAAAAAAATTGTTAAATTAAAAAGAAGATTTTTATACTATTCGACTGCATTATTGTGTTGTCCACCGATTTCAACGATTCCTTTTGCAATTGTCCGTTTTGGTCCTGTACATACTTTATTTACAAGATTGAAGTAGTCTTTTGTAGAATAAAACATTAAATTATGCATAGAAAGATGAAAGGACATAATAAGCGGTTACTGTTTACACGTGGAACAAATATGAATTTTGTGCAAATAAGGAGAAATTACTTCCTAAAGTAGCATTTGTAAACATGATACGTAGGTATATACTAGTGTCCGACCGACCGAACTTTCAGTTTCGGTTTCGGTTAGTTTCGGCCAGAAATTTTACTTTCGGCCTTAGTTTCGGTTTCGGTCAAAAATTTGGCGAAACTTTCGGCCGCGCCGAAACTTTGTGTGTGTTTGTGTTGTGTGTGTGTTTAAGTTTTTTTTTTAAGTTTACTTCCAAGAGTAAGTCATAACTTTAACATCTTTTTACATATAAATATATATGACATATTTGTTACATACTTTAATTAGTGTTTATTATAACCCCTAAACTATTTGTGTGTTTGTGTAAATACTTGTGTAAAAAATACACTAGATTTCAGTATAGAAGAGAAATTTTAAATATGATTCAATAAGTTTTGGTTTCGGTTTCGGCCAAAACTGAGATCAAGGCCGAAAGTTTGGTTTCGGTTTCAGCTGCAAAACCTGTTTCGGTCGGACACTAGTATATACCTGTATCTTGTTTATAAAGGCACATGTACCTATCCTTATTAATATTATAAATGTGGAAGTGGGTTTGTTTGTTACCTTCAGCGTCTTAACGGCTTAACCAAACATCTTTAAATTTAGTATACACGTACTATATACGAAGAAGAAGGATATATTTTAGAACCCGGTCCACACAGCAATATATCCTAACAGGTCGACCTCCATGCGGTTCTATCTGGAAATCATCGTGTTGAAGTAAGTTCAGGTGTATTCATCATGGTGGGCTAACTGAGGTAACTGAGGAGGTGAGGTAACTGAGGCAGGTATCATAAAGTTTTATTTTGAACCTCCTGTTTTACTGAGCCAATATATATATATACATATAAATATACATAAATATATATATATATATATATATATATATATATATATATATATATATATTGTACTGTAGTGTCACTATTTGACTGTTACAGACTGTCTTATGGTCGGATCAATTATTAGTCCAGTTTCCATTTTGATTAAGTTGAAACGGTTTATAGTATGTATCATGGGATTTTCCGAATATATATAATAATTAATTAAAATTGTAACCAGAAGATATCTGTACATAAAAAATATTTAAGAAAAAAAATGTAACGATTTGCCTTAATATCAGCAATAGAAGCTAAAACAATAATTTTTAGTATCACTATCTGTCTATATGTCGTATTGTAACGGATATATCCGAAACATAAGTAAGCTGAAGTGGCAATAGGCTGGTCACATAGCTCAAAGAACCGACAACCGATGGAGAAGAAAGGTTCTTGAGTGGCGACTCTATACGGGAAAAGGCAGTGTAAGGTAACCTCTCACTAGCCAGAGAGACCTCAAATGCATTGCAGGAAATTGGTAGATGTAGGTGGCTCAGAACTGTTCCTTATGGCAGTCTCTTGGGGAGGCCTATGTCCAGCGGTAAACGGATCATGACTGAGATGATGCTGATGATATGCCGTATTGTTCCGGCATCACGAAACCAATACTACCAAATTGGATGAGATTTTCTTAATTGTTTTCCTGGAAGGTTTAATTTAGAATCTGACACAAGCATCCTTAGTCGCAGACAATTAATTACATGCATAAAACTATGGAAATTTTTTATAACGTAGATAAGCACCTGTTTACTACGAAAGGAACGGAATTATTGGGATGATAGAATCAGATAAAATTCCATAGATTAACCAAAGAAAAAAAAGCACACTGTTTTTGTGTACCCACGAACGTAGGCAATTTACCTATCTAAACGTAGTTGTTCAAATATTAACCGCAAACCAAGACTATTAGACAAGATAATGTTTAACATGCGTATGCCATAATTGCAAAAACAAAACGGTTTTACTACGAAAATAAAATAATACACTGTTTATCTAAACACAGTTTTACAAAACTCTATGTTGTAAATCTTCATCGTTGCCTTGCCTTTCCCCATTCATTTGACTAAGTTGTAAATATTGTTTGTTTAATCGGTTTAATAATATTTATTTACAATTTCATGAAACAAATCTATAAATTATGTATAATGTAAAAAAATGCGATAAATAATATACATATATAAATAGAATGCAATTCTAGACATTTTTTACTTTTAAAAAACTAACAATCTTTTGTTAAAACATAAACGATGTTAAACATGCTTTTGTAGAATGATGTCAAAACATGTTTTGAAATCTTGTCCATCGTAAGTTTAGCTTTTTTGCGGTAAGACGGAAACCGTTTAGAATAGAAATGTTCCGGGTATAACATTACCACACTGTAATGGTGTTATGGATGCATGTGGTTTTGGTAGTTTTTTTTTTCTATGGAAAATAACTGAGTATATTTGTATGTAAGTGTAATAACGACCACCATATTACGAGGTTTGTCCGGAAAGTACGTATAAAAGTTTTTTAAAAATTTTATTTTACAATTATTCAGGTAAATCAATTTTATCCCCTTCAAAGTACTCCCCCTGTGACATAATGCACTTGTGCCAACGCCGTTTCCACTGTGAGAAGGCTCCTTGAAAGTCCTCTGGTTGTAGGTTTCTCAGCTGCCCCGTCGTAGCTTTTTTTATCTCATTTATGTCCCCCAAATGCCGCCCCCGAAGTACCAATTTGGTTTTTGGGAACAAGAAGAAGTCACACGGGGCCAAATCCGGCGAATAGGGGGGGGTGTTCGGTCACCGTAATGGAATTTTTACTCAAAAACTCACGGAACGATCTTGGCGCAAATTTTTTTCATTTGAAGTTCGTTTCTTAGAATTTCGTGGACCACGGTTTTGCCCAAATTAAGCTCTTCAGCCACCTCTGTCTGACCGTTAAACGACGGTCCCCATTAACACAAGTTCGAATTCTTTCCACGTTTTCGTCG